CCGCCCTTCCAGCCCCCCCTCCCCCCCCCCCCCGCTCCGCTCCGCTCCTTCCTCCTTCTTCTTCAGCACCCCCTCCCGCTTCCCCCCGGCCCGGGCGGGGTGTGGGTGGCCGCGGGGACGGTGGACATTTTGCGAGCCGCGGCTGTCCCCGGTGCGGCGGCCTCGGGGTGTGTGAGACTGCGCGTGTGTGCGGGGGGGCGGTGTGCGGTGCCGCTGTGTGCGTGTGTGTGTGTAGGGTGTGTGGTGTGTATGTGTGTGTGTGTGTGGTGTGTGTGAGCGTGGGGGCTCCGGTGCGTGCGAGTGTGTGTGCGGTGCCGGTGCGTGTGTGCGGGGGGGGGCGGTGTGCGGTGCCGGGTGTGTGGTGTGCTGTGGTGTGTGTGTGTGTGTGCGTGTGTGTGTGCGTGTGTGTGTGTGTGTGTTGCCGTGCGGTGCCGGTGCGGTGCCGTGTTTGTGTGTGCGGGGGTGCGGTGCCGGTGCGGTGCCGGCTGTGTGCGTGCGCGGCCGGCGCGGTGCGGGGGGGCCGTGCGGGGCGCGTACGCCGGGCGGACCCGGCGGGGCGCAGCGCGGGGCCGGTCGCCGGCAGGGCCGGTCGCCGCCACCGCACGGCGTATGTAGTACGGGGCTGGGCGGCTGCCGGAGGGTGAATGAAGCGAGGAGGAGGCGGCGGCGGCGGCGGGGGAGGCGGCGCTGGCGCTGGGATGTGCCCGGCAGCAGCCCCGCTCCGCTTCACTCAGGGCCCAGGCCGGCTGCAGACGCCACCCGGTACTGCCGGGAGGGACGGGGCGGGAGGGGTGGGGGAAGGGGGGCGCAGGGGCGCCGCCGCCCCGCTGCCCGCCTGCGGCTGTGGGGTCCGGCCGGCGGCTTCCCGAGGGGAAGCGGGGTCGGGGTTCCCCGCCGCCGCCGCCGCCCCGGGGCTTCGCTCGCCTCCAGTGGCGGCCGCTGCCCTCCTGCCGCTCACCGATCCCCCGCCGCCTCCGGGTTTGCTCGGGTCGGGTGGGGGTGGTTGGATTGCGGGGTTTTGAGGTTGGTTGTTGGTGGTTTGGTTTTTGTCGGTTTGGTTTTTTTTTTTGTTTGGTTTTTTTTTGTTGTTGTTTTTTTTTCCTTCTTCTAAGGCATCGTAATTTTCCGGCAGAAAAACAAATAAATGACCCCGTGTACGGTTGTGGGTGCTGAATCCGTCAATGTGATTCCTGAGAATATTAAAGTCTAAATTAAAGCGTGCTGGAAAAGCGTTAGCTCCTACTGTAATAGTAATAGCTATAATAATAAAATGACAGAATTGGGAGCGATTTACATGTTATTGAAGAGGAGGAATTACTGAAGAGTAATAATAGAAAAGAAAACAAGTCGGAAGCCCGTTATATAATGCACTGTGTAGACAACGAGAGCGACAGGCTATTTTTATTTTGTTTACCGTATGCTGTGTAATAGGGACTCCTCCGAACAGCATCTTTCCCCTATGTGCCCGAACTCCTGATAGAATTGGGGAAAAATATCGAGGCATTTCTTTTACGACCAGACGAAGAAATCTAGGTTTGTAAAACCTTCCTCTTTACAAATGATTTCTCTGTGCAGAACGGGAAGGGTGTGTAGGTAAATGACCTTTGCCGGAGACCTTTTCCCTTTCATATGGTAAAGAAATTCATATTTTGTAACACAGCTTACACTTTAACCTTTAACGCTCATGGTTATGTATTCTATGCAGTAATGGTTACTTTACGCGTCAGATACAGTCAGGCATAGTGAGTTACTCTGCTGACACCCTGATAAGTCAAGGACTTTTAATTTCAGTTTCGAATGAAACCGTCCCCTAAAGGAAAATCCCGGCTTCACGTTAATCTATTTCTGTTCGGGTGATAGAGACGGTGCAGTTTTATCATATGGAACAAGGGTTATGAATGAAGGAGAGGGAAATTGAGAATGGCCAGGGAAAATATTGCGCCGTAGTTATTTTTGCGATGCTGCAAGATAATAGTAGTAATTGTACGTTATTGCACCTAATTTGTTCGTAAAACTGGCCCGGTATTTTACGGGTAACAGCTATTTTGAAAGGGTGGCTGTAATCTCCTCACTTTTTACGTAAGGCAGAGGTCGATAGGTTTTCCTCCGTGCTCGGCTGTCTGTCTGTCTCTCTCATCATGTAGCGACATGTCAGCGGTGCAGGCTTTCAGCGCGCTTACTCCAGCCCTGATCAGTCATGTAATTAGATCAGGCTGCCATGGTAACAGACGGGATTCACCGTAGTCACCGGCCAGCCAGGTGCGTGTGTGGCTGGCGGGCGACCCAGCGGGCTACCGCCAGCCCTGCGTGTGCCGCCTTGGTGGCGTGCGTACGGCCGGCGCGGCCACCGCCTCCAGCTTTCCGAAAATTGAAAGATGCCGGAGGTGGCTTCCTGATGGCCGAACTTCTCGGGAAGGGTGTTCTTTGCCCAGTGGAATGTCAGGCAGATGGGACCGTACGTGGCGCGCTTAGCAGGTCAGCTAAATCGTCAGTTCCACTTGCCTGTATTATTAGCAAATTAATGAAGGTGCGGTACTTTGTAAAAATGCTTTGGCTTATACAAGCTAGCATGGAAGTTTCTTTAGAGTTTTCCTTTTTTTTTTTTTTTTTTCCCTTCTCTCCCCCCCCCACCCCCCACTGTCTGTCTGGTTTAACTGTTTGGTGGCTGCAGCAGTGTTTGTTAACAGTTCCCATTCCATTATTCTCATCGTAGGCCAGAGGCTTGTTATTCTTCACTACTGTACTATACTTTACACCCTCTGACTGGTAAGATGAAAATTGGTGACACTTGATGTCAGTATGTGTCACTCTGGCTTTGTTAAGCCTCCTCATAGTTCTTAGCAAGGTCTAGGCCCTTTTTTTACATGAAAGCTGACTGCAGTTTTTTGTGATAGTATCCTTAGATATTATCACAAAATATTATAATAATAATATTATATATATATATTATATTTTATATATATATATAATAATATTATAATATTATAGAATTGTTAAAAACAATTTTTGCCTCAGCAAACACTTTGTTTCTGTATGGGTGTATTTTTTTGCATTTAGGCTTACCAAAATATTATAGCCATGGAGCAGGAGACTTTCTGACACATTGTATAATACCGTAAAAAGGATATGCAGTATAATTAGCTTTGAACTGCATGTTGCTCTTAAAAACATGTTTCACCAAGCAATGTATATTTGTCTTCATTCTTATTGTTCAAACATCACTCTTTTAAGCCGCTTCCATAAATGTAGGTATAATTTTTTAAAAGCACCAAATTTGGCACAGTGTTCTAATGTCATAAATCTGGAGCAACTCCAGGGGATGGGATTGTGAGCCACTTACATGGGTGTATATCTCAAATAACTCCATTTATTGGACATAATCCAGGCATGTAGTAGAGTAACCGAGCTCGGAAAGTGATCTGCTGCGTATCACTGTTATTTTCTCTATATTGCTTTTCATGGTAAAAAGCACTGTGGGCTTAAATAGGATTTTTGCCTGATTAAGGAGCTGCATTAAGTGTCTATAGAAGTGGGTAACACCCCTACTCCAGTCACTAATCTTGGGTGCACTTACACTAATATTGAACTTGGCCCAGAGGATTTTGTGTCTCAGTGATGAGAAATCATCAGCACCCACAGCTCCTGAGCATTTGTAGTACCAGGCTGGAACATAAAGCAATCCAGAAATATCTCAGTAAAATAGATATTTTAATCACTCTGATGGTAAGGCACCGGAGTTGGAGGAGGAGGCAATGATAAATGCCTGTTAGTGGTTCAGCTCTTGTGGTGACAGGCAGCGGTGGTCTTGGGTTTAGTGGGATGAGTTTGCAGGTCTCAGCCTGCCTGTCGAGCAGGAGTGTTTCTTCTTGGAGGGGTGAGGGGACAGGGTATTTGCAGGCAATTTCCTGCACTGAAGTGCAGCTCCTCGGTGCCTCAACTAACTTGCCCTTCTGGCTAGGAGAGAATATTCTCTGCTCTGTGCAGCTGCCTCCGTTTTTGGTCCTCCATTCTGAGGCGGGGGCTTGATATAGAAGAGCTTGTTAGGAGGACTGACTGGAGAGAGTGGAATAGTCAGGATCAGGATGACTCCTGTAGTGTAAGCCTTTGTGTGCTGCATGCTGCTTATACATATTTTATTGTAAGACAAATTACCTGTGACTAAGAGTGTTAGAAAGTAATTATTTTCAAAAAGGCCATATATACATAGTTTAAAAACTTTTCTGAAAAATAAACAGTGCAACTTTGGTTTGCTAGCCTGATTGAATCTATTTAAAAAGGTTGAAAAAACTAGTTTTGTTTTAAAAGACATTTACAAGAGACCTGGAATTTCACTTAACAAAAATTTTTTATGTAATAGATCCAGTGGCCTAGTTTCCCATTAATTAAAAAAATAGACACTTGAATGCAGTCACCTGAAAAGCAACTAAGGATTTAAACGTTAGAATTTTAAAATAATTGTCTTAGTAACGTGGCTAGTAAAACAAAATCAAGGCCTAATTTTCCACTTGCTGAAGTTTAGCAGCATATTTTAGCAGATGATAGTCAGGATTATCATTGTCATTGTTCATACTCACACTGCTTTTGTTGTGGTGTACTAATTGAGGGGGAAATGCAATAAAAAAGTATGGCAGGCTGTAAAGGAAGTGCTTGTCAGGACTGCATAGATGGTCTGAAGCACTGGCTGGCTGCAAACCTACTCCAGCGTGCAAGGCAGCTGACGCTGGTGATGCTTGAGAGAAGTCGGGCTGTGTGACAGCCTCACCTATAACCACACAGGTTGTGAGTGATTTGGCTGCTCTGGAGAACTGTACGGGTACAGTGTGTACAATGCAGAGGTTGCAGATAACAGGTTTAGTTGTAGGTCTCTTCTGAGACTGCTGTAACCAGCTCTGCGTCAACAGATAAAGGTATAATTAGAACATGAAACAGAAGTATGGCAGACTTGGCACAGGTAAATATTTCATGGCAAAGAACTGACTTGCTGTATTTCAGTGACTTCAATAGCCTAAGCTTTGCAAAGTGAAAATCCAGACCTCATCCTTTCATTTTACTTTAAAGCAAGACTCCAAGTGTGATAAATAAATAAATAGGTATTTGGTCAAAGGCACTGTATTTTGAAGTCTTATTCAGTGGTTCACATTCTTTATATGAGTAAGTCGAAGATTTTTATATGGTTTTGGCTGAGGTGATGCATGGCTAACATTTTAAAATGTAGGAAACTTTGTAGATTTCTGATTTTTGCACAAAGTCAAAAACTAGATCCATAACCGTAGCTCCTTTTTGATCTCTGTGCATGTGTTGAGAATGTAATGCTTCGTGGCTTTTTTTTTTCTCTCAAAGCTGTAGTCTGAAGTGACTGTACAACACATGCAAATCTGTATGTGTGCATTGGTCCCAGTCTGCAAAGTTACTTTAGTACGCATCCCAGTGAGGGTTTTGCTGAATGAGAATTGATTAAAGAACCTATCTAGAGTTAAGTATGCGTGTAAATCCTTCCCTAAATAGGAACAAGTAAGTATGCTCATAAACTGAAACAACAGAAATGATTCTCAGTGAGGGAGAAATGGTCCCACTAAATCCTTTTATTGTACCGAAAGTCATAAAAGTATTTGGTGAGATTCCAAGTGAAAAACCCAAACGTGTTTTGTTTAATAGGTGATGTCAGCAGAAGTTCAGTACTGGATCTTAATGATTTTGCTGAGCAAAATCACAGAAATAATACAAAAAACCACATTGGTAGAGTTTTTCTTTGTTTATATTATTTAGGAATTTGCATAATAGGCATCGACTGTAGCGTGCCACCTCTAAGGACAAAATAGTATACAAGGTAAAGTCACATTCCAATAGGTGATTATTTTTCACCTAGTAGTAGTAGCTGCAGCACTATGTTTTCAGGATGCTACTGCTTCTCAAATAAAATATGTTCTGTTGGCAGTGAAGACAGTCATCTCCACTTGCTTATGATTCTTCACCTCATTAAGATCACATTTAGGAAAAGAACACTCTGAATAAATGGGCTCTGCTCTCTACTGTATGAGCTCTGTCTGCAGGATTAAATCTATAGCTTATCTGTGCTTGAGTAATAGTAGAAGCAGACTCTTTCAGTCTTCATTGGGATATCTTAGCATGTTGTAAATGACTGTGAATGTTGACTCTTAACTGTGTTTTTTGTTTCTCTTTATTTTGGTTTCCATCTCCTCAACTCCTGGGTCAACAGTCACATTGCAGGCCAAGCCAGATGGGCAAGCAATACAAGCTGTGAATTTATTCTTGACCCCATAGGACAGTGACCACCGTCATTTTTGTCTTCACCGTACAGTTATGCACTGCCAATAAGGTGAGAATACAATGCTTTTTATTTCCTTCAGCAAGTGTACACTGTCTGCTCTGGGCTTTAGGCAAAGGGAACACCTTCCTGGTGGCTGTGTGATTGCCTGCCTATGATAGGTTTGTACTTCCCTTGCCTGGCAGTAGAGGTCCTTGAGAAACTCTGCTCGGAAAAATGCCTTTAACTCTGGTGACTCAGTTCAGTGACTTACAGAACAAGTGCGTTCCAGATGAGTGGTTTTATGCTCACCTGAGGTCACAGTATATTCAGTTATTGGAATATGTTAGTATGAATGGAAAAGTTGGCAGACTTTGATTCTTGTTATAAAATGCCATATGTAAAATTGTATAAATCCTTCCTTCACTTTTATGAACGTTTTCAGGATTCTGGTTGCTTGTTGCCTACTTGGCTTTTCCACTGTCTTGAGTTTCTTCTGTGCATTAAACTTTGTCCAGCATTAGAATAGTTCCCAGGATAATTAGTCACTACTGATGTATCTGTGTGTCTTTTGCTCTATTTTGAGGAATGCTTTCTGTTCTTCTGATTTTCCTCCCTGAAATGCTGTGGCCAGACAAGATGTAACAGTGCACGTGTATCAGTCTGCTGCTGCCCCTTTCCTCAATCTCTCCTTCCCATATGGTTGTGGAAAATAACTTGAAAAGACCAAGTCCCAAGACTCAACAATCATACTGCCAATAAAAAGAACATAAATTTTTATTTTATTTCTTTAATCTGATTGTCATTAGGCCAGCCTGGTTTTTTGGATCTGTTCTATGATTTTTAAGTGCTTGGGATTGGCAATGCTGCTAATGCTTTAAGAAAAAAAAAGATAAAGTGTCATAATAAAATTGCCTGTGTCTTTAAAGAAAAGAGAATGAAATATAGTGATTGCTTGCAGAAAATCAAAGGGTTTCTTTTTAAAATTTACAATCTGAAAGCTTAATTGCAGTAGTGTTCTTATATATGCAGGGCTGATCAGAAAGTCTCCATAGCAGAATAACTTTTTAATGTATACAGCATGTCAGAAAGTATGTAGCTCATCATTTACATTTTATTGTGGCTATGGGGAAGGGTGCTGTGTTTTAGAGGGAAGTTGCCTAGGCAAGTAGTTACATGCAAGGACATGCCTGTTACAATTTCCAAATGAGCTTGAATGGTGAGGGTACTGTAACTTCAGAGCAGTAAGAGTTTCTTGAGAGTGAAAATCCACACAAAGTGCCCCTGTGCTGACACACCTTGTCTTCCTGTTTTGGAAGAAAACTGAATTGGTAGTAGCTATTGGCTTGGGATATGAAATAGAAGGAGTTTTTTTGCTATGACGTTATCATTTCCACAAAGCATTTAATTTTATTTTTTTTTAAGGATTAGCTTGGGTTGTATAAAAGTGGCTTTTTTAAAGAAGTGATTACTGCCGGAAAGGTTTATATCTCTTAATTAGAAGTAGTTGTTTATAGGACATTGGTCAAGTCCTGTGAATAATCAAATTGTGTTACTCACAATGTATTGCTAAGTCACCTTGGATATTTTAGCATCTGGTATTTCCTGCAATTACACAAGAGAGAATATATTTGATGTTAAACAAACATTTAGATAAAAATGTAACCTAGTTAAGTCTGGTGCAGAGGCATGAAGAATATAGTACTAAATTGCTGTTTTTCTTATTTCAGCTCAGCTTGAAGTATAGTATTGTATTTGTGGACCTTAGATTAGGTTAGATTTGATATAACTTCTTGTTGTTGGACATTTTTTGGCACTAGTTTGGTGGCATCTCTGTTGACCTCATTAGTTCTCATTTTCTCCATGGAATGATCAAAATCAGGCCCACTGTATAACTAAATTAGTAAAATAAAAGTTCTTGGAATAGATACTGCCTGCTTACAAATTTCTGTTACTGGAGGAAACAGACAGGAGCTCACAGAAGTAACCTGTGAAAGAAACATGAGCTGGCACTGTGCAGGGAGCAGCCACAGATACAGCATTTCATACTCACGCCCATCATCTTTCTGGCTTTCGCATTTGCTTTGGGATGAAGGTGGCAACTGCCCTGCTTCATTTTAGACAGACCTGGGTTATGACCCTGGAGTCTGTCAGAGGGACGGAACACAGGACTCGTTTGAAGGCATCCAAAATAGATCTCAGAAACTGTACTTGTGGCCTAATGCCCCTACATGTGCATTCATGGCTTCACTTGTGTGAGTGAGGAATTGTGTGGCTTCAATGGGTAACATCTCTGCTGTGTGTCAGCTCTCCAGGTGTGCTTACCCTTCCAATTCAAGCAGCATTTTCTGCAGAGCCAGTTAAGCATCTTGCCTGGATAAGGACATGGGTATTAATAAAAGTAGAATGAAAATAAATAAATAGATACAGTTTTCTTTCTTTTTTATTTTTAGTTAATTCTAGCTGCTCTCCAAAACACGGAGTTATTGTTACTTGTTCAGAGCATGCACTGCCTCCTTCCACGTAGGCAAATGACTCAATGCTTTCTTTTATACAGTTGTCTTGAGAAGATTTTGCATGAGATGCTGGACATTTTAACAATTAAAGAATTCTTTTTAATCTTTTCTACTGTCAAGTCACTTGATATTTATTAATCATAGTACTGGGATGAATTTATGGCTGGCAGCCCATTTGTAAGAAAATTTTTTGGCTGAATTTTCAGTAAGTATGTCTGTATACTACTTAATATTGCTTATTTTTTACATAGGACATAATTTTTGTTTTATGCAGTCTTTTGGCTACTGTTCTCTCTAAACAGGCAAGTCTGCCCTTTTGAAATACTTAACAGTGAACATAAAAAGAACTAATCTGTCTCTATATTACTGTGTGCAGTGGTAGCTTTTTGGTTGTCATATCAGTGTCCTTTTATCATAGCTGGTTTTATTTCTTCCCTCATGCTGTTTACAAAGGTCTACAATAGCTGTAGGGCTAAAAGAAGGTAGGCAATGGGTATTTCTAATGTGTTAACAGCACAAGTGAAATGGAGCTGTGAACTAGGTATAACTGATAGTAATTAGGAATCATTTTAATTTTTTAATTGTAAATGTGTGAACAGCTGAAAGGTAAATGAAGTGATGTGAGTGCTGACAGATGTCTTAAAAATGAGGCTTTGTGATCTCCTCACCTCAGCCATAACCTTTCATGTTTTTGCTCTGTTCTTCCTACAGCAGATACTGAAGGCCTGCTGCCTGACTGATAGAAAGTTTCATAACATGGTCTGAATCATAAATGGCATTGGGTGTAGTGGTATGCCTACATAAAAACACAAGGCTGACATTCATAATGTGATATAAGGCACTGTCCGAGGTTTGATTCACCTTCTAACTTGGTGTTTTTAAAAGGTGTATCTGCAAATGGAATGAGACTTGCTGTCCTACGTACTGCAACTTGATAGCATTCCTTTAAAAGTGTGGGCTTTTGGATATTAGTGTATGAGTAGATGGAGAACTTCTGTGTGCTGGGGGCCGAGAAGTAGTGAGGTGTCGGGATGTGATGTGCAGTTGTGTGCAAGCCTGAGCATCTGTGTGTGCCCTCCTGCTGCCCCTTCCCTTGGCTGTGTGTGTCGGGCAGGGATGTACTGGTGGGGTTTGCCTTGCCTCGAAACCAGGGCTCTGCCTTTGGCAAAAAGTTAGTCCTCATTACCAGGGTTATAATTTTGGCCTGAAATTAGCCCAGGTGGCAACATCTGGATTTAATGTTTCTCATGTTGGGACTCTGTGATAGAGGCAAACCCCAAATCTAATAATTGCCTCTTTATTTTCTCATCAATTACTTATTTTGGAACTAACTGTAAACCTGACTTCAGGATTTACTGAGTCACTCCTTGCTCTATAAAAAGTACAAATGTCAAAGTGTTTCTCACTTGTATTGGAGTGTGGTTGTGACTGTTACCACATTTTTGTTTGTCAGGTACCCACGTGTGAAGGCCTTTGTAGTTTTGTACAGCTAACATTTCTGTGAGGCCAGCTACTTGAAAGAAAGTCAGCCTTTAATGGAGAAGGATAATTACGAAAAGCAGGCTTAATCCTCCTTTACTGTGCTCAGAAATTTTGTGCTACTGAATGTTTTCTCATTGGTGTGGTTCCTTTTCAGTGGCATGTGTAGCAGCTGACTAGAAAGTGATATTTTCAAATGTCTACAGTAATTTATACAAAGCCCCTGAACACTTTTGCTGCTTGGTACTGTGCTGTATTCACAGCTTTCCCAAGGTAGTCTGACAGCAAGTAGACCCAGAATGCTTTCAAATTTCAAGGTATTCAAGGGGAAAAAAGTCCTAGTAGATTATTGTGGTAGAAGTAGGTATATCTTTATTCTCCATGTACCACTAGCAATTAAATACCCATCACACTAATCATATGTACTGAATTTTTATTTACAGATTAGGAGGCTCTACTTTGACATATGACTAGCAGGGAAGCCCCTCCCTTTAACAGTTGTATGTCATCTGCTTCAAAGAACTAATTACTTGGCAATTCCCATTTGATAATTCCCTCTTTATTTTCTGATGAGTTACTTAACAGTGATGAGCTTGTTGAGCAGAATACCATGCTTAATCTGTGCTTCAGAAACTACAGCGTGGGCCTAGGGATATCATTGTTTCTGAAATGCTGTTTAGCCTTGCCATAGGAGCATTGAAACCACACTAAGATACATGAACAGTTCACAATTAACGATAAGTTGAACGTGAGTGATGCACAGCATTTGCCAAAAACTAAAGGAAGGGTTTAGATTACTGTTGCACTGCAAGCAGAATGTTAAATATGTAATTTCTTGAAAAAACCACAAACACCAAACCTAATGTAATTTAGACGCTTAGAAGCAGAAGCTTATGTCAGAGATATACCTTCTATGTATCATTGCTCTTCTCCACTGAAAGAATCAATTTAATGGATTTTTTTTTTTAAAAATCCACTGTTTATTGTAGTACCTATTTGACAGTCTAGCTGACTCCTGGTGGTTATTGTGTTCTTTGAATATGAGATACTTTAGTAAGTTTTTACCGTGTTTTCCCT